GGTGATCAGCTCGTCGCAAGGCCTCTACCTGTACACAAACACAGAAAAACGCACACACACAATGCCCTGAGTGGGATTCGAACCCACGATCCCGGTTTACAAGCGAGCGAAGACAGTACATGCCTTAGACCGCTCGGCTACCGTGACCGGCCTGAAGCTGGATTACCGCAGAAAAAAATGGCAAAATATGTTACAATACACGTATATACCAAGACTGCTTTTTCCGAAGCCTTCCAGTTCAGCATACATTGACTCATTAAGGTGTACACTAACTAACATATGCAGATGATATCTGTCTATGGCTCTGTAGTCCTTTTGTTGGGCCTTGGCCGCTTTTCAATTTCTTTATCTTTCTACACAGTCGGCAGGACGCAATAAACGAGGACACACAGGATAGCACCAACAAAGAATAAACGCACACAGACATCCACGCCTTAGACCGCGTGGCCACTGTAAAGGTAAAGGTAAAGGTAAATGATAAATACGCTTCTGGACAAGGGGTGTGCTGTCAGCTTATTAACGCGGGGCAAGCACCAGCAGGCAGTACTTTCCTTTCCTTTTTTAAAATAGTTTTAAATAAAACTAAATAATACGTGTATACATGAATGTTATTTAAATATCCAGAATTACATAATACAACATGGTTCATGCTACATTGTGAATAATCAATTCACTGTGAATATTCTGCTGAAAGTCAACCAACGTTTAAAGGCGCGTCCACATTACTCGTGCTCGTGTGACTCGCTATGCTCGCGAGTAATGTGGACGATATGACAAGTCACGACAGGCAAATTTTAAATTTGTAATCTAATAACTATAGTCAATAAATTAAAATACGAGTACAGCCTATACACACTACGAGTAAATATACGGATCCTCACGCGCCGAAGCCTGGCGAGCAACTGAAGTAGTGTGGACGAAGATTTACGAGCACAAGTAAAAGCCAGAAGTCTCCCGACGAGCTCAAGCCTGGCGAGCACGAGCACGAGTAATGTGGACGCGCCTTAAGAGGTACTTATCCCCCGATATTCAGGATCGAAGAGTAGGCCAGGCAAGAATTTCAATATGTTCCTCCGAAACGTCGGCCGACCTTCACCGGACTATACGGCGTTACATCCAAGCAGATATAACACTTTATAGCCACGTCTGTGAGAACCTCAAACCCAGTGGTACTCTACTAATGTTTGTTACGAAGTTTCCATACAGCTCAGACAACTAGCCAGAAATGACCCCTCCGTGCCTGCTGCAGCACAGGCCTGCCCTGGACGCCATGCCTCAAGAGAGTTAGTTATCTGAGCGTATACGTCAGTGTAGTCTTAATCTCGTCAGTCTATAGTGACGAGCTGCTATTTTCGCGTTCCCGTCGCTTTACCCCGGAAAAAGAACGTAAATTCAGTAAATTCACGGACGACTCAGGTCAAAATACCAAACTACGTGACGAGAAAATTGGCTTCATCCCTTCAGTTAAAATACAGGTTAGCTTTTTCAGTACTTCGTCACGATTAATCACACGAAATTTCCACACGCTGTAACGAAATCCGTCACTGATGTCATTTAACAGTTCTATTTAGATTGATGCATAGCGTGTCTGTAATGCTGGTACTTACTGGTTAACAATATTCGCAAAAGAGCATCATACACAGCGTGTCCAGGTTCTGTTAGGACTGTGTTCATTAAATATACAAGACGTGAATTTTCAAAATTTCACTCTTTTTATTCAAAATAGTCTCCTTCTGATTCAATACGTAGCTGGAATCGATTGAAAAGTTTTCGAAAACAGTCACTGTACCCCTTTTGTGGAATCGCATTTAAAACTGCGGTACATTCCCTTTGGATGTCCTGGATGGTGTCGTGACGGTCTCCTTTCATCGTCAACTTAACTTCTGGGAACAATCATAAATATGTTGGAGCCAAATCTGGCGAATACGGAGGATGATCAAGGACTGTCATCCCTTTTCTGACCAAAAAATTGCGCACGATCTTCTATTTGTGGGGTGGGGCATTGTCGTGGTGGAGCGACCAGGAACCTTGCTCTCGATATTCAGGTCGAATTCGAAGAATTCTCGCCCAAAAAGATTGAGGACTCAGAGATAATAATCAGAATTCACTCTTTGACTTTCTGGCAGAAATTCCTTGTAAATGATTCATTCGGAATCGAAGAAAACGGTTAGCAGTGTCTTTACTCAGATCTTTTGCATGCGCACTTTCTTTGGTTTCGGCTTCTTTGGGCTCAACCACGCTGTATTCTGCCGCTTTGTGAGAGGCTCATATTGAAAACACCATGTCTCGTCACCAGTAACAATTGATTTTGTAAATTTTGTATAACTTTGGGCCGACCGTAACATGTCTTTGCAGTGTTCCACTCTGACATGTTTTTCATTGCCTGACAGCGAGAGAGGTACACACCGCTCACATACCTTCCGTTTGTCCAAATCCTCGGTCAAAATCTGATGCACAGTACTTTTTTGTATTCCCAAAAGCTCCTCGATGAGTCTTGCAGAAACACATTGTCTCACGCAAGGATTTCGGTCACTTTTTTCACATTTTCTTCAGTGGGACTTGTTCTCGGCTTTCATGCCCGTCGATCGTCTTCAATGAGCTCCCTGTGGTCACGAAATACAGCATACCATTGAAAAATGTTCGAGAGACTCAAACAATCAGTACAGTACACACTCTTCATCATTTCGTACGTTTCTCCGGCTGTTTTACTTAACTTCAAACAAAATTTGATGTTGGCTCTGTTCAACCGCCATTTTCCGACAAGCGTCAGAACAGTACTGTTACATTCAAGGTCAGAACACATGATGCAGTGATGCTTGCGCTTTGAAATTATAGAGAGCCACAGCTGAAACTTCAAGAATCTTTACGCCACAACTCGCTAACAGATGGCATTGCTGGACAAAATAATATTAAAAAAAAAAAACTAGTCCTGGACACACCGTGTAAATTAAATTTTATTTATACAAAAATAAGAGGGTTGTAACCCCCTAATATATTTTTGCCCTGGCAGCTGCTTGGCTCGCCTGTGCTAAAGCGCTGGCCCTCCGTAAACTACAGCCGATTGCGTCATTTGTTCTACTCCTATTACTGATCGATAAATTCTGAGCTGAGACCGCGAAACATTCATTCACACTCCAGCGTTTGTGTTAGACGTCTTATTGTACGGTATACGTAAAATTGCGGACTTCCCACGGCGACCAGGTATTAAGTTTATTCAAATCCATATATATTTTTGAGACAAAATATGTTGACATTACTCACATCAGTTTATGCTATTCATGCAAAAAACTCTTAAAGTTGTATAGTCACTCTTTCCGTGCCTGAACTCCGAATCACGGAGTATAGAGACGTGAAAGGAAAGGCACCTCTTATTTTCGGAATTTGGAACAAGATGACCAGCCTCATATCGCGGTTGGCTTTACCGTCGGGGAAAGGGCATTCTAAATGGTTGCGTCAGCACGAACTTTACGAGCTTTAGGAGTCACAGTAATGAAACGGAGTCCCCTGTTGCGATTGCTAAAATCCTGCTGGTCCATGTGGCCAAACCACGAAATTTTCGTCGATATGTCTGAGCCATTTAGTGGGTTTGTAATCAGCTGTTTCCTAAAAATATTTTCAAAGTATATTACTTACCACCGAAAACAGTGAATTTCCCATTGCCATACCCTCTTTTTTTCTGACATAATTTATCTTCGAACTAGAAATACGTGGGATCCGGGATAATTACAGGCTCGGGCTGGACGACCGAGGAGTCGGAGTCCGAGTCCCGGTATGGTCAAGAATTTTCTCCACGTTGTTCACACCGGCTCTGGGCCTCACCCAGCCTCCTATCCAAAGGATTCCGGGGGCTCTTTTCCTAGGGATAAAGGGGTCGGGGCGTGAAGCTGACCACCTCCAGCTAGTGCCGAGGTTAAAATAATGTGGATGTATATGTCCAATCCCCCATACGCCTTCATGGTGTAGTAATTAAGTAGTTAAGTACAGGGACGACTTTACCTTTTTACTCGAAGTACGTGGTTATTAATCAGATATCCAGTAATTCCATCTGCAGCTGGTAAAGGTGAGCGTTCTGGGAAAGAAGGAACCGGGACAGAGTGCATGGACGTAGGTGCTAGGCCTCATGTGTGTGGAGCTGTTTAATGTTTGTCTTAACTCTCAGAGATGGTTTATGTGGCGCGTGGCTTATTAACCCTTGTGTGTGTGTGTGTGTTGGTGCTGGTGTCCGGAGTCAGAAACTACTCTATCGATTGGGTTCAGTTGAGTAGGTTTTACTTGGAGGAGACAGAATCGTCTCCGAAACGTTGTTTTATATAAAAAAATGTGCTTAAACACAATAATTTTAGTTTACATGACGTGACACATACCATTCTAATGTCTACGCAGTAACATCGAAAATGTCATTATCGTGATTGTTTTGCGTTCAATGTGTACATAATGAAAGGGAATTCAATATTCCTGAGTGCCAATTTTATGATCGATTAAGAACTGCAGCTTTGGTGAAGTGCAATTTATATCGCATGGTTACAGAACACACGAAAAAAAAAGCTAAAAATTGCTTGTGGTTACATTAGAAAATGTCTGGATCTATCTGTAACACAATTGGAACCAAAATCACCATTTCCTACATCTGACTGAACACATTTGGCTCTGCCGCATGTACTCAGGGCACGCCCACACTTTCGTTATCGATCTATAGCTGAAATATCGACCCATCCCACGAAGTCTAATTGCAGAACTTTCCAACAGATGGCACATGCCCATACTTACGCAATCGCCGCACAGCAGACATGGAAACTCCACGCCACAAACGGAAAATTTTTGTAATTTCAAGGTTAAATTGTATCAATCATGCACTTCCTGACTGAATTCCACATGTTGCCACATCCACGGTCTCCCTATACATCAAATTGTTTCTTTATAAATGGCAAAGACATGGTTTAATTTGCTCCTTGCATGTGAAAATCACAGATTAATAAGGAATTACATAAATTACACATCTATTATGATCCTTACATGTCTTTATTCGTTCAAGTGACCTTGAAAAAGTTTAATGAAATTCAGAACACAACAGAACTCGATAGAAAAATTAAACTTCCACTCATTACCAAGCCCACATATCAGGAATGCAAGATAAAACTGAAAATCACTTTTTCATTATTAGTACATGCATACATACCAATTGGCTGAGCTTAGATTCATGATAGAACTTGAAATACAACTAACTACAAGTTGATGAAAATTAAACAGCAAATAATATAAAAATTTTATCACATTAAGATCGTTACTGATAGCTGAAACACTAGGGACTCTTCATAACCACGAGAACTACATACAATGCATTAGCTAGGTCAAGTTCTATTGACTGAGATTTGCATCTTGTTGCAGTTTTACTTTACAACTAGGTAGTTATTTGGCAACCACTACCAAAACATGTTAACTAGGCTGTGGAATGATGGTCTGATAAACACTGCTTAATCACAATGTGCCAAAATTACTGCAGTCATATCTAATTTTATCATTTTACCAGTTGCAAATCAGCATATTTTAAATTGGAAAGTTATATTTATGCAGCATGTGAAATGGGAAAGAAAATGTTTGTTTTAGTATAGTTTAAAGTTGGCCACAATCCACAACAGTGATCTTCTTGCTTGTCTTGCCACTCTGGGAACCCAAACTTTCCAGCTGCAAAAAAATAAAATGCAAAATATGTACATACAGATTGGGGATATTTACTTTTCAGCTCATAAAGAATTAATGAACACACACCTTCTTCACAACATCCATTCCCTCTACAACAGATCCAAAAACAACATGTCGGTTGTCCAGCCAGCTTGTTTTCGCAGTGGTAACAAAGAACTGACTTCCATTAGTGTTTGGTCCAGCATTCGCCATGGACAGAATGCCTGCAACCAACACAAACGATTCAGAAAGTCATGTATCATATATATACTTGAATTACCAATGCTTTAACAACATATACATACCTGGTCCAGTGTGTTTCAGCTGGAAATTTTCATCTTCAAACTTGTTACCATAGATTGATTTCCCTCCAGTACCATTGTGGTTGGTGAAATCTCCTCCCTGGCACATAAAGTTGGGAATGACACGATGAAAAGTGCTGCCTTTGTAACCGAAGCCCTTCTCGCCCGTACATAAGGCGCGGAAATTTTCGGCAGTTTTTGGTACTACATCATTTCGAAGCTGAAAGTATAACCACAACATTTAAGTTACCATTATAAAGGTCGCATTAACATCTTAATTACATATACGTCACTCCTTAAAACGACAATTCTTGGGTTTCGATTTTATTCATCATTAAAAATCCGTTATCAAGCACCATTTTGGAAACATCTTATCTTTCTTACTGACGCTAACCTCGTGGAGACCGGTAAGCACTATTATTAATGTCGCAAAGTGTCTCAGTAGTGAAAACTTGTAAAAATGCAACAATTGTGGCCACAAAAGACTACATATTGCCCTGCCGTGTAACTATATTCTCCAAAACCGGCACCATCGTAACCCAACAAACGAGACCACAATGGAGTGGCAAATCTATCATACTATTTTTAACCACACTTATTACAGTAGAAGTCAAAAACCGACTTACCTCCATCACAATTCTTCCTACAGGCTGGTTATCGGCACTCATATCAAAATAAACTCTTGGGAGACCCATTTTAGAGGCAAAATTACGTACAACGGCAACACAGAGAAGCGACTGCACACCACACACGTTACCGATTCTTTGGAAGGAGCAAAGAGGAAACGATTGGCGGTAAAGATGCAACGCTGCTTGAGCCATTTTAGCAAGTGACATGAATATACATTTAATTAAAATAACACCATAAAATATCAGAATGAATTAATTTAAGTCACTATTTTATTTTAATGAAGGATTAAACACGACCTACTCAAATGAAATTTTAAAATATTTATTAATTAATACGTGAAATCTTAGAACTACTTTATCTTGCGGAAGTGGAAGTTAGCCGTGCAATTACTATTGCAAACCAAAATAAACATATATAGTAAAAGGATCTGCATGCAAATATATTGTTATTAAAATAATTTTAATAATCACATTTTAAACATGTTTCATACTTTGTAGTTTTAAAAAGATAGCTGACATGATTCAACTTAACGAGTACACTAACACATGTGCAAATTCGTATTGAAACTTACGAAGTCAATGCAATGTTATATAATTACATAAAGTATTATTAGTAGATCCTCTACTGCTATCATTCCAAAAATATGTAATGTTAGTAACACAATTAATTGTTAAAAGCAATGTTTTCATTTTACGTGATTCGATATTTCTGTCGATTTCGGCAATGTAGGAAATGGCGTTGTCAGTACTTAATGTCAGTAATGTGTTGTGTTATTTATGAATTGCCTTGTATAGTGTGTACGATTTGTTATTGAGTATGTATAATTTTAATTTGAAGTTAATGTGTATATGTATATGGACGTGATAATTTTTTTTGTAACCAAAAAGGCTATAAACCAGAGCTCAAGTAAACTTGCTTTTATATTTATGTTTAGGTTTTCATGAAGTGTTAAGGTTAATAACTTTTGCGTCCACTTAATTGAAATTTGGAACCGGCTTAGAAAGTAAATATTTTTTATTTATGTTGTAGGTCATTGGAGAGGTAGAGATACCATGTCTCAGTTCGGAGCAACAGCCAAGAATCCACCATGGGTTAGGACGACAGGTAAGTTTGGTAAGGTACTCTGTCTGCAAGATAGTAATGTGTGTAATGCTGTTGGGTAAGTCTGCTGGACAGTAGCGTGTGTTACACTTGTTTGAAGTGTCAACATCAACTCAATTTGCAATTGGCAATTTTTTTACAAGGTTGTTAGATTTAGTAGGTGTGCTGGATTGCCGTGGGTTGCAGTCGACACTGTGAGATACTCAGTGGCTTTAAGTAAGAACCATTTTGTCTACAGCTCAAACGATGGCTACTGGTGTGACGCAGCAGCAACAGCAGCTCCAAACGCAGATGATGGGGCAGACTGCTATGGTTGCCAACCCGACCATGGTTCAGTATCAGCAGCCACAACAAGTCTTCCAGACACCGATGGGAATGCAACAGGTTGCTAAATGTTGCAATATTGGCTTATAGGATAATTGTTGAAGTGAAAGCCCAGGTTCCGGATAGCAGTATGTGATACCTGAATTGCTGCTTCAACCAGTTTATCTGTACCTGCCTGGAACACCCTCGGAGGTTGCACATGCAACATAGGTGACATTACCATTGTAGTATCATAGTTTTGTAATATTGTCCATCCCATTCCATTCTATTTCAGGCTGGAATGACCATGACATCAATGACAGGGGCAATGGGTGCTACAAGTGTTGCTATGCCAACAACACTTGGAGGGACTCAGGTAAGCTCCTTGACTATTTATCTCATATGCATGCTAAGTGTGGAACTCTGACACCCCTTTATTTATTAATAATCCTGTTTAACAGCTTTTACAATTTAACATATATAGGAATATATCTTTAAAAAAATTGCAGTTATGAACTATAAATATGAAGCACGAGAATTACTAATATATTTAGGATTTTATTTGTTATTTTGAATAAGAACCTTACATCTATCCATTTCCTTACATAGATTCAGATACCTGCCTAGTAGTGGCATTAATTGTGACTCTTTAACAGAAAAGAAGTCATTTCTCTTACAATTCAGTATTTTTTGGAATAGTTTTTGTCATGTCAGAAAATTTTTGGCTTTGAACAGAAAGATTAGAATGTTACCCTAATTCGAGTAATTGCATAGGTTGCAATTCTTGAAAAGTAATGTGCAAACTACTGGCAGAGAAATAAAGAAGAATGTAAATTTTCTTAATGTATAGTTTCTTGAACAGCAGTTGAGAAGGAATTAAAAACAGGTTACTAGCCTGGCCTCACCCTCCCATTATAGTATAGTAGGGTATATTTGCATCCCATAGATCATTCTTTTGGCTAAACCAAGGTTGCAGAACATGAAGTTTTAAAGTGAGCACAAGAAGATCTTATTTCATAGATGTGCATAAAAATTAAAATTTTTCTAGAGAGGTAAAAAATCTCCATAGTAGGAGTGAGTTAAGAGGTAATCTTTTAATGCAGGCTTCAGTGCTTCTGTGTTATCATGTGTTAGTGACTAGGCATGGGGTTTGAAGGGGTAAAAAAAGGTAAATTTGCTCAACTGATTAAGCACTATGCCATTAAGGCGTATGGGTGAGTGGACGTATAGATCCACATTTTCTTGATCTCAGCACTAGCTGGAGGTGAGTGGTCAGCTTCATACTCCGGCCACTTTACCCATGGGGAAAGAGCTGCCAATACCCATTGGATAGGAAGTTGGGTTTACCCCTGATCTGTTCTGGAAGATGTTGAGAAGAGAAAATTCTTAACCTTACTGAGACTTGAACTCTGACCCCTCGGTTGTCCAGCCTGTAGCCAGTCTCTATACTGACTATGCTATCCCGGCTCTTGGGGTTTGGAGGTGTAATTGGGTTTATTGAAAACTTATAACTCGTAAATACAAATCTTATGGTCTTGCTGGTTTACACACTAAAGTTCATTAATTGCAGCACATGTGAAGTCTTCTTTGTTTTACTAGTTGTTCCTTGGTAACAGCTCCCAACAGTGGAGATTCTTCAGCTTCCATGATCACGTTGTTGGCAGCTGGCTTGTCCCGTTGGTTCTTGTTATATAGCCATGGAACAGACTGCATAGGAAACAGCGTGGCCCACATCGGGAACATTGTGACATAGTCATCCACCAGCTGTTGCATAGGAATGGCCCATGAGTTTGCAGCTGTTGCCTAGCAACAACCACCTCTTTTCTCTCTGCTATTCCAGCTTTGAGCCATTATGTCACGATATACTTCTAATGTAGGTGGAAGATTATTGAATAACATGATACCTGTTTAGTATACACATCATTGTTCTTTAGTGAGGTTAACATTGGCATACATAGAGCATATTTATGTTGTGTTTAAATTGTGTACCTCTGTGGTTCTTTGAAATTTTTACATATTTAAAACCACAAGCGGTGGCAAGCAGAATGAAAAAATTTTCTGCAAGAGACTCTGTATTTAACAACCACCATTATTGTACGAGGGCTATTTGTAAAGTAACCTTCATTTATTTTAAGCAGTTTATGTAGGAGTGGGGGAGAGCTTGCACATGAGAGGTAGTGTCACATGACTCATTGTCTTGCAAACCATCACGTCACCTAGTGTTACTGTTTGTCTCTACAGAGTGAGTTATGATGTGTCCTGTGATTGATAATTCTGCCAGGTGCAAAATTTGCACTCTTATCCACTTTATTCATGCAAAAAGTGATATTTGCGGAAAATGTCATGAGTTACACATGATTTACGGTCAAAATATGAGTGAAGGAACTGTAAGACAGTAGTGTAGAATGTTCAAAGATGGGAAAACATATGTTCACAATGAAGAACAAAGTGGTTGACCATCTGTATGAGTTATCTTGTTTGAAGTGTTGACCAGCGAATTTGTGAAAGATTTTGCTTCACAATTTTAGGAGTTTCATGTGAATTTCAGCAAATTTCATGCACACTTCTGTAAGAGATTATCATGCTTAGGCTATGCTGTCACAAGTTTTGCCCAAGGTGGGTTCTGAAAATGCTCACAGGTGCGCACAAAACACAGAATGGCTTTGGCTTTGACTTTGTCTTCCAAGAGTGATATCACAAAGATAGTGATGAAAATCTCAGTAACATTGTACGAGTATCAGGTGATGAAGCCTGGGTTTCATTTGTGAATGTTGAAACCAAAGTGCAGTCAAAGCAATGATTGCACAAACATTCACCAGACAAGTCGAAAAAGTTTAAACAAACATTGTCAGCCAGAAAGCTGATGGTGACTGCTTTCTGGGGCAGGAAAGGAGTGCTTATGGTGGAATTCATGCAGCATGGGACGACAGTAATGTCAGGTGTGTTAATTGCAAAACAGTAAACAAAAAACTGTGTAGCGCCATTCTGATTAAAAGGTGGATTGCCGACATCTGGTGTAGTGACCATGTGCATCCGCATACAGCTGCTCGCACTGGAGCACTGCTAGAGCATTTCAGCTGAGAGTTGTTTGGCCACACAGCTGCTTGCACTCGAGCACTGCTAGAGCATTTCAGCTGAGAGTTGTTTGGCCACCCTCCTTACAGCATGGATCTCACTCTGAGTGACTACCACATGTTTATCTACCTTAAGAACTGTTTTGGGTCACAACGCTTCAACAATAATGAGAAGTTGATGGAAGGTGTCAAAACATGGCAGAGCTCACAGGTGGCAAACTTCTTTGACACAGGCATATGAAAACTTATTCACTGATACAACAAGTGTGGGGTTCTGGCGGCGACTAGATTGAGAAGTAGCTTAAGTATGTTCATATTTTTTATGTATAATAATTTTTTTCTCGTTGCTTGTTTTGTTAACAGCTTACCTGAGGTTACTTCCTGAATAGCCCTCATAATTATTTCATTCTGTATGTTAAGTACTTTATTTCTCTCTGTCCAATGTCCCCATAAGATTAACCCATATTACAGTATGGAGTGGAAGTAAGTAAAGTAAACAAATTTTAAAGGATTGTCATGAATAGTATGACTGTCCTCATGGCAAAGCAGTATATTTGTCCTCCGAATCATACCCTTAATATGAGTAGAGTGATTTTACAATGCTCTCAGTATCTAGACTATAGATCATTAAATGGTGGGATGATGAATGAATTGGAGAGGATTTGGAAGGAAATGTTTGCGGAATCTTCATTGTATAATTCTGGCATTTGTTTGGAGGAACTGAGGAAAACCCAGTCAGGATATCTGGTGTGCTGGCTGAGATTTGAATGAAGGAAGTCCTGAAGACAGGCCTGTAGAGTTACTGCTTCATTGACCTGTTTGATACCTGTCTGTTGATAAAAGGTGAAGTTATTCCTGGTCTTCGTTAATTAAGTTCCATGCCATGAACATGTATGGGAGAGTGGGTCTGTAGCTCCATTATTCTTAATTTAACCTTGACTCTAGAGGGAAGTGAGTAGTTAGCTTAATGTCTTTGCCACTTTTCCCCCAAGATAGCATCCCATGGTGCCCATCATAAGGTGGCTGTGTGGACCTCAGAGCCAGTATGGTCGTTAAGGCAGAGAGAAAACTCGCTCCAGCTGGGAATCTAACCCCAACTCTTTGCTTGTCCAGCCTGTAGCCTTGTTGCTGTACTGACCGAGCTATCCCAGCTCCTTTTATGTTGGTGTAGCATTATTGAATAAACTGGGAGCAAACAGGTCAATATCACAGAACTTATTATGCCCCATATCACCACAGTTACATGTACTTAGTTAAATAAATTAATTTCTTACATAAAAAGCTCACTGAATTGAAATTTACTTACTACAAATGGATCTTTGTGATGCTATGTTAAATCAAGAGGTGTGATGTCTATTTGAATTAGGAGGTAAAGCATCATGATTAGATTCTTCAGGGCATTCTTTCAGTTATGTCAGGCAAATGCCAGGATAATGCCAGTAAGTGGACTTAATTGTTTTCTTTTCAGTGCACCATGCTTTATGAGCCTCCCATCTTGTCCAGTGGTGCATAATCTGTTGTATTATTTATCAGTAGTTTATTTAACACACTATCACTGCCTCAGACTGTGTAATGTCATATGATTGGATGATGATAACTACTAAGTTGAAAAGGATGTGGTAGGAAGCAGTTGTCTCATAACGTAGGATACTTCCCTGAAATTTGCCAGGAACTGAAGAAAACCACAAGGGTACAAACCAAAACTCAAACCAGATACCACCTGAATTCAAATAAAAAACATTACCATTTTGAGTCCCCATACTTGGTTCTGTTGATATAGTGTTTTGAAATACAATGCACTGAACCAGTTACTTCGGTGAAGGTTTCATACTGCTGTCTAGTATTCTGCAATGTAGAATTTTGGTTCATGTGATGCAGATGCGTGTCATACAGGGCGGCCCAGTTTCAGGAGTGTACTATAACATAAATACCACCTCTTCATCTTGGATTTCCTGAGCCTATTTGGAGAGGGTTTAGTGCAGTTCTTGAATTAGTATTCTGAAGACTGTTTGAGACAGAGCTTTGGTTTGGACCACAATAATCAGAGGGTATCACAGTGCTGGGGAGAAACATTTGTTAGTGTATATACAGATGTACCAAAGGTTAACCAGATGTAAGCTACAATCTGCAGGCTAGAGCAGGCATCCAAGCTGTGTTTTATATCCTCATGAAAGAAGATTCTGTATTGTCACTGTGCAGTCAGTAGAACCTGATGGTATGTTGGAAGTCAGATGCTGTTATTCAAATGTTTTGTAGCTTTCTACTCACTATGGCTTAGCAAACCAAGATATAAGGTGAAGTTGTGTACAGAATTTTAGATTTGTTTGTTTTGTATCAAGTTATATGTTTATATTCATATTACTGTAAGTTTCCCTGAGAGGTTACCTGCTCTGATAGAACTGAGTTCTGGTTGCATGGTTTCCACTTAGCTGTTCAGAAAATTGATCTATTAATATGTGCAGTATTGATAGAGTAAAGGTGAAATATCCAGCAATTCTGGTACTAGAGGGTTGCTGGATATTGGACCATTATGCCTAGTGGGTAAGAAGTTGGTATAGCAACAGGCTATGGGCTGGATGACCACGGTGTGATTCCTGGCAGGAGAATATATTTATTTGATTTGTTTCGTTCTCGTCTGTCACACAGTTAAGTTTACAATTGTGTTTATTTCAGTCCAGTGTGACATATAATGCCTTCACCACTTCAGCACTTAGTTACCTAACATGTTTCGATTCTTAATATATCATCGGAGGTATACCACTATGATCAGGAACCCACCAATACATAAATATTTTTGTAAGACTATATACGAGGGGGACCCAAAAATAACCGGAAATGACCTGTTGCGCGCGCATGCTTTGTAGTTACGAGTTGTGCTGCTAGGTGGTGTTAGCTGGGGGTCTCCCCCGACTGTTAGTGAGCTGGCGTCAGTCTGAGTTAAGTGGTTTGTCTGTGGTGCTCTGTTGTGTGCGTTCCTGTTTCAACCCTTTGGCGATTAGTGAGATGGCTGACCAGAAGGAACAAAGAGTGTGCGTGAAATTGATGAAGATCGTCGAAAGACCATTGACCAACTTTCTGAGGAAACGAACATCTCATGGAGCATGGTCCAGCGAATTTTAACCGAAGGTTTGCACATGAGACGGGTGTCTGCAAAATTTGTTCCTCGCTTGCTCGGAGATGACCAAAGAGAAAACCGCGTGAATGTTTGCCGCGACTTGAAGAGTGAAGTGCAGTTTTCCCTAACAGAAAGCAAAATTTCACGCACACTCTTTGTTCCTTCTGGTCGGCCATCTCACTAATCGCCAAAGGGTTGAAACAGGAACGCACACAACAGAGCACCACAGACAAACCACTTAACTCAGACTGACGCCAGCTCACTAACAGTCGCGGGAGACCCCCAGCTAACACCACCTAGCAGCACAACTCGTAACTACAAAGCATGCCTGCGCAACAGGTCGTTTCCGGTTATTTTTGGGTCCCCCTTCATACACTTAAAACATTTATGATGCTCACTGTATGTAGTTGTTAATTTTCCATTGTCAAAATAGATGTCTGACGTAAACTTTTATAATAAGAAACATTCTTGAAGTAAATTACTTAGAAGTGACATAGATGCAATCACTTCCATAAAGGATATTTTAAAAATGTAATTTTCCACTGCACTATATATAAAATTCAGTTTGTTTCACCAGCCTTTACGTTGTGTTGAGACAAATTGAATTTTATATACAGTGCAGTGGAAAATTACATTTTTAAAATATCCTTTATGGAAGTGATTGCATCTATGTCACTTCTAAGTAATTTACTTCAAGAATGTTTCTTATTATAAAAGTTTACGTCAGACATCTATTTCGACGATGGAAAATTAACAACTACATATAGTGAGCATCATAAATATTTTAAGTGTATGTAGTCTTACAAAAACATTTACGTATTGGTGGGTACCTGATCATAGTGGTATACCTCTGATGATGATATATTAAGAATCGAAACATGTTAGGTAACTAAGTGCTGAAGTGTGAAGGCATTATATGTCACACTGGACTGAAATAAACTTAATTGTAAAGAGAAGATATTTATCTTTTCTGCAGTGTCCATACTGGCTGTGGGGCCTGCCCAGACCAGCTCTGGGGCCCATCCAGCCTCCTGTTCATTGTGCACAGGGGGTAAAGGGACCAGGGTGTTAAGCTGACCATTCATCTCCATCTAGTGCCTAGGTCAAGAATGGTGGAGCTGTATCTCCACTCCCCATGTCTTCATGGCATACTGCTTAATTATTTAAGTGCAGTGACAGCTTTCTTTTTGCCTGATGTTTAACTTAGTTTACCTAGTAACCTCATGGAGAGGCCTAACCATTCAGTTTGTCACTTGATTACCTGCCCTTTTTTCCCTGCTGCACTTTCTGTTCCCTTAAGGCCACACCATAGCTCAAGCGGTTAGTCGCTGACTTCCCACCATGGTGGCCTGGNAGCTGACCATTCATCTCCATCTAGTGCCTAGGTCAAGAATGGTGGAGCTGTATCTCCACTCCCCATGTCTTCATGGCATACTGCTTAATTATTTAAGTGCAGTGACAGCTTTCTTTTTGCCTGATGTTTAACTTAGTTTACCTAGTAACCTCATGGAGAGGCCTAACCATTCAGTTTGTCACTTGATTACCTGCCCTTTTTTCCCTGCTGCACTTTCTGTTCCCTTAAGGCCACACCATAGCTCAAGTGGTTAGTCGCTGACTTCCCACCATGGTGGCCTGGGTTCGATCCCGTGTCTGGTCAAGTGGGATTTGTAGTGGACAAAGTGGCGCCAGGGTAGGTTTTCTCCGAGTACTTAGGTTCCCCCCGCCAATCTTCGTTCCATCAGTTGTTCCACAATCACCCTCACCTATCATCTGGGACTGGTACAATAGGCCAGAAGTGGCTGCACTGCAAGGGACTTAGTCCCACCACACTAGTATTCTGTTTCCTTATCTTANTCCCTGCTGCACTTTCTGTTCCCTTAAGGCCACACCATAGCTCAAGTGGTTAGTCGCTGACTTCCCACCATGGTGGCCTGGGTTCGATCCCGTGTCTGGTCAAGTGGGATTTGTAGTGGACAAAGTGGCGCCAGGGTAGGTTTTCTCCGAGTACTTAGGTTCCCCCCGCCAATCTTCGTTCCATCAGTTGTTCCACAATCACCCTCACCTATCATCTGGGACTGGTACAATAGGCCAGAAGTGGCTGCACTGCAAGGGACTTAGTCCCACCACACTAGTATTCTGTTTCCTTATCTTAACTACCGCCTCTGTGGTCTAGTGGTCAGAGTTCCTGGCTACAGATCCAGACGTCCTGAGTTCGATTCCAGGCATTAACAGATTTTCTGGGAAGTATTGGTTCTGGAATGGGTTCCACTCATCCTCATGAGGAAAAATTGAGGAGCTACTTGAATGGAAAAGTAGCAGCTCCCAATAAGAAAACCGAAATTAACGGCTGTGGGGATTCATTGCACTGACCACATAATACTCTCTATCCGCTAAAGTTGGCACTTTGCCGACAAATGGCAGACACTCGGTCTGTATAGTTAGCTTGCGGACTAAGGCAGCGTCTAAGTGGCCTCCGTAGTCTAGGGGTAACGTTCCCACCTCATGACTCAAGTTACGTGGGTTCAAACCCGGCGGAGGTCGTGGAATTTTTAAGGGCAGAAAAATTCAGGGAACAAGTCCTCCGGGAGGGACTTTAAGCCATGGGTCCTGTGTCGTAGATTTACAGCATGTAAAAGATCCTCATGTCTCTAGGAGACCTCTGAGCAAAATTAGGCAAAAAGTTTCCCGCCCAAGTAGTTTCCAATGCCTCCGGTAGATGGGGAAAGTTATTGGGTACCAGTACCAGTAGAGGGCTGACCTCGCTGGCAGAAAGGGGAGAATTATTGGATACCACTGCCAGTAGAGGGCCGACCTCGCTGGCAGAAAGTGGAGATAGCGGGCACCAGTATCGGTAGTATCGGTAGGGTATGGCGACAGTAGAAATTAAATAGGGACGTACAGTAGACTATTAGTCACGGTACATGGGGAAACCCACCCCCTCTATACTGAATAACTGAAGGCAGCATCTGCAGGAGCGCACAAAATGCACCCATTATAACAAACGTTGTGAAGTCCATTGTAGAAATAAACAAGAGAGGCGAATGCTATGCTTTCTTCTGGCTCCATTGCAGACAAAAAACTACGCACCGCATTCTGGAACTGTGTGGTGTCCTCAGCAACGTCCCCAGCAAAGTGTGTTCGTTACAATGGATGCATTTTGTGTGCTTGTGTAGACGCTGCCTAAAGCCACAGAGTTTTTTTTTTGTTTGTATCTTCACTACTTATGTAACATGGTGTGTATGTAATAAAAATGAACAAGACTCCAATTTTTTACATGTAATCATCAATTTTCCAGTTAATTTCTGGTTCATAGAGATTTCCAGTGCTGGATATTGTAGTTTTATACTATATCTGCAATTGAACCAGGGTGGCAGACAAAGGAATATGAAGAACCCATTAATACACCATTAATACCCATTAATAACACCAATATTATAATATTATCTTCAGTGGAACTGTTAATGGTTTATAAGTATCATCATTTGTCTACAGATGTTCCCGCAGGTGGCTACAGTGAGCTACCCAACACCACGGGCACTAAACCCAACAGCTTTCCAGACTGCTGCTACAGTTGCTGCTGTGCCACCAGTCCCTCCAGCAACCCCAAACCCATCACCCAAACAGAGGGTCTTCACTGGTACTGTTACAAAAGTTCATGACAATTTTGGATTTGTTGATGAAGATGTTTTCTTTCAGACAAGGTGAGCTATTTGACTGTGATATTTAAACTGCATATTAAGTTAGCAGACAGAAATGCCTCCCATGCTGCATGTTAATCAAACAGGTTTTGTAAACTGTACAGTTTGTCCCATGCTTGTCAGTATGGTCACTGACTGTGAGGTAGATTATTGCAATTAAAATTGTAGTATGTAGAAGTATTGTCTGACATCCAGTATGTCTTTTGGGGCTGTTCCCTGCAAGCCTTTATGGTATGGTGGCTCTCAGCAACAGAGCGTTGATCTTTTCATGTTGCTGTACATTGGTGGCAATGCTAGATGGACTGGTCTGTCTAAAATTTTATTAGCATGACACTTTTTGATGGTGGTTAACTACCGAATTAAATATTAGTCTAACAGATGATCCGAGAGTTACAAGCATGGTTGGCACTATTTTCTTCTTTGTTGATAATTATGATGGACTCAAGATGCTTAAAGCCAGTCACAATAGCAGCATGGTCTAAGGCATGAACTGTCTTCGCTCCCTCGGACGCTGGAATCGTGGGTTTGAATCCCACTCAGGGCATGGATGTTTGGTGTGTGTATGTGTTTATTCTGTGTTTGTGCTGTCCTGTGTTTAGGTAGTGGCCTTGTGATGGGCTGATCATTCATCCTAGGAGTCCTCTGTCTGTGGGGAAAAAGAATGATTACAGAACCTAATAAGAGGCCGGGGCCTGAATGAGCTGTAAGAGCCANGCGAGTGGGAAGGGGGGGGGGAGGAGAGAAGGAAATTAAAATAAAAACTCACTTGGAAGTATCTGGTGTAGATTTCCTGCACCAAATGCCCATATTCATACAGGCAGAACATGTTCTTTTTAATGTAAACAGGTGAACATGCTGAGGATAGCAGGTATTTTACAGTTACTTTACAGATTCGCTTGAAAAGAGTGCATTTTTCTGGTTTTGTGTTATGTATGCATAGTTATGTATTATTTATGTGTGGTCTATTTAATAATAATGTTAGTAGCTCGGCTATGTAGCATTGAGCATTGTTAGTTAAGACTTTGTGTAGTATACATGTCATTATCTTCTAAGATCCTTTCTGTTTGGGAAAAAGCCCATAGCTGCTTATAATCAAGAATACAAAACTTATACTGCTCATCTTGAATGTTATATACTGGCTGCCTTAAATGTTACTAATGACATCTGTAATCATCAGTAGAGATATTGTATTAACAACTTTTACGTGGTTTCATTAAATGTATGTCACATTGATGATGTTTGAGATAAAAGTTAAAGACCTCCCCCCCTTGTACAGTGTGTTATGATTTGGAATTAAATAATTACCAAAGTAAAAAGCAAATGCCCTAGTTGAGTTCCTTTCCACCATGTAATTGTACCCAGCTGAAATTCTGTTTGAAATAAATGGAAGGTTAACGGACAATATTATCATGTGTTGTAGACAGGACAAGGGGTGTTTATTCATAATAGGATTTATTGAACACTTATAACTACAAATCACTATAATGGTCTTAACTGATTTACACACACTAAAGATAATTACAGCACACATGAAGTCTTCAATGTCATCACTAGTCTTTGCTTGATAAAAGCTTCTGACAGTGGAGATTGCTTTAGTTACATACATACATACATCAGCGTTTCAGAGTATTCAGAAGTGTGCAACTGGTACTGAATATAAAACTTGTCAAACAACAGTCACAAGACAATCACAGATAAAATTGCAGAGACAACAATTCAACCATAGTTAAAATCGAAACTGACTACCTCAATTAAATAGACACAATGTTACACATACAATTATACCAACAAGATAATTAGCGATACATAATAATTCTCCTTCCTTAACTTACACTTACACTTAATGTCTATATTGATGCCTACTGTGGGACATCATCAGTCAGCATGCACTCCCATTTTATTCCTTAGCTGATGATCCCGACAGAAGAGCAAAAATTCATCAACAGTATATGACGGAATTATGTATTAGGACATCTCTTATTTCTTTTATAAACTGTTTTTATCATGTACTAAATTAGTTAAATAATCAGGCAGACTGTTAAATATTTTTATACTCATGCAGTGGACCCCTTTCTGCCTCATTGCGAGATGTGATTGTAGGACATGTAAATTTCTTTCATGTCTTGTCGGTCTCCCGTAAATTGAATAATTAAAAGTAAAATATTCCAAATTCCAAAGTCAGTAGAAAGTCCGTCGAGTGTAACAATTTGTAGGTCACTTCTTTATCACATAGTGTGTGTAACGGACCAAAATGAAACAATTCAAAATATTCCAAATTATTTATCATAAAAGTCATCAAAGATAAAATATATTGAGAGACCAATGTTAATATATTTAACTTTATAAATGCTGGCCTACATGACTCTCTATGTTTCATCCCCATTATTATTCTGATAGTCTTCTTTTGTAAGAGAAAGATCTTCTTGGCCTCTGACAAATTACCCCAAAAAACTATTCCATATCTCATGAGTGAATGAAAGTATGCATGATATATCATTTTAAATGTTGTAACATTACTATATGTTTTCATAATTCGTATTGCATAACATGCCTTTCCCAATCTGGGTAACAGTGATTCAACCTGTGTCTTCCAATTCAAGAACTTATCAATTTCAATGCCCAAAAATTTAATATGAGTTTCCTCTTGTAATATTCATCGTTAAACTTTAATGTACAGGCATATTGTCACGATTGATTGTTTCAAATTTTAACACTTTAGTTTTCCTCAAGTTTAGGGATAAGCCATTGTATTTAAACCACTGACTTAAGGAATTTAACGTAAGTTTAGACCTTTCTTGAATTTCATCGATATTAATACCTGACACTAATATAGTTATAGTACATGAAATGTTATGCCACCAATGGAATCTGAATTTCAACAGTTTTTAAATTATATATAGATTGTCACAATCTTCCTCCTAGTTGCAGGAGACGTGTAATTGTTGTGTAGCTCATTGTTCATCAGGTGGTGGTACTGGATAGTAGTCTGGGTGTGATGTAGTGTAGGTTGAAAATGAACTTGGGTTTTACTATGATGGGACTGCAGGTAGCTGATAAAGTGACCAGTGGAATGCAAGTTGCAAAAGGTTGAGGAGTACTGGTATAACTGAGTTACTGTTGGGTTTGTGATTTAAAAAATTTGGGGTCATACTGACATCTGTATTGATTACTGTTCTTAGCATTTTCCAAACTTTTTTTAAACCTAACCATTAATGTGTTTCTAAAAGTCTGTTTTTGTATGGATTCACTCAGTTCACTTTGTATGAGTGATGTATGAAACAGATTCAATTTACAGGGTCTCATATTTTAAGTTGTTACCCATATTTATTTTGCATTACAGTTCATGTGTGAAAGGGTCAAACCCAGTTGTTGGAGACCGAGTGTTGGTGGAAGCCTCGTACAATCCCAACATGCCATTCAAATGGAATGCTACTAGGATTCAGGTCCTGCCTATGACAGGTGCCCCTGCGGCACGTGCCCAGAATACTCTTCCCAAGGGTTTCAGTGCTACTGCGCAGAACAGTTACAATGCAGTTCCACCTCCAGGTTAGTTTCTATTCTTCATATAGAGATATATGAACAGTTCACAGACTTAATTTGTGTTTGGTTTTTGTGTAAATGAGAACAGTTGATGGTTGTTTGTTTCATAAGTTGTAAGATAAAACTGTATATCAAGTGTAAACATTTGCTTATGTATCAAGTTCTTTTACAATTATGTTTCATTTACTAATGTGATAAGCATTGTATGAATTTGGACCAATGTAGAGAGGATGGGCAAGGCCTGTTTTTGTTTATGATTGTGACAGTTTCCTGCTGAGACCTCAAAATAGCTCATAACAGCTGAGTATTTGGCTGGAAGTTGAACCCAGAACTTCAGAAATACAAAGCAGAAGTTTTTTATTGTAGCAGTTGCTGACTGCAGATGACACTGTCAAGTGTATTCAGAGGATCATTATGTGCAACAAAGAGAAAAAAAAAGGTGTAGATTTCCTCTTTCATGGTATTTTATTGGTGTCTGCCTAGAAGGATCATTAGAACCATGAGAAACCTTAAAGTAACTCATGTAGGTGAAATCTTGAGCTGGATATTGCTTGGAGATATGAGTCAGGCACAATGGTTCACAGCTGGGAGTGGTTTTCAACCTTTGTGAGGCTGCGGCCTGGTAAATTCTTTTTTTATAAGATGAGGGCCAGTATGATTGATGCCAGGTGGGCCATGGCCCAGTGTTTGAAAAACACTGCTCTATAACAAGTGCATCTGTTGATATCTGAGGGCTTAGCTCAGCCAAACAAGATCAGAAAGGCTATGTCAGTACACAAGATTATCAGTTGTATTTATTAAGAGTACTAAAAATAGGAATAATGACATGCAGGCTAGTGTAAGTTTCCAGTATTGAAATTCAACAAGTCATGAGTGTCTGGGATACAAGGAAAATACTATGTATAGCCTAAATGAAACAAGATTGCATTATTGGTCATTATAGCTGTAAATTGAAATTGCTGGACAACTTTTGATGGAAGTCTCACATATTTAATTTCAGCAGAACCTGTGAAATGGTTTAGGGAGTACATGGGAAAGCCCATTATGGCCATATGTAAACTAGGCTCTGTTGTGGTTCAATACAGTTATAAATCAGAATTGCAGGACAACCTTTGGTGGAAGTCTCTGATATAAAATATTAACGATATCTGTGAAATGGAATATGGGATACTTGGAAAATTTCATTTATGGCTTTTTGTAAACTAGTCTTTGTTAGGAGTCAGGAGTCAGTATGGCTGAAAATGAGAATTGTGCAATAACCTGGGGTGGAAGTTTCTAATCTTGGTTTTCAGCAATGTGTATGAAACTGTTACAGGATACATGGGAAAGTCCTTTTGTGTCTTGTGTAAACCAGGCCTTAATTGGAATTGCCAGATAACTTGTAGTGAAAATTTCCTATATTGAGTTTTAAGAAAATCTGTCCAGTGGTCCAGGTGTGTTGATATTAGGTCACAGTCTGACCAGAGCCATGGTTTCCACATAAGGCAGTTTTTTGTGTTTAAGGGATACATAATAATAGACTCCAATTCCTATTAAAGAATAAACATATATTTGTTTAGTAGTAAACAGTGCAATAGATTTTGCCTGTTCACAGATGCTCGAAAGGGATTCCATTTCTCATTCACACACCTCATGGTTCTTTTGCTCAGCACAGTGTCATGACTATTCATCACCTCCCAGTAGTAGTCCCAATGTTAATTTTCATCTGTTGTTGTCATGTTAAACACAAACACTGTGATTTTAAACAAACTGCTTATTAAACCATGGCCCTTTTTGGAATGTGTTTACAATACATGGGGAGTGGTCAGCATGGTGGTTCTTGTTTCTGGTTTGCTGTGTTTACATTTGATGAGTTATGACTGATATAGTGGGACTGTGTTCCAGTCAAAAGGTGACTGTTCAACTTTCCTGTATGTAGACAGGTGACTGTTCAGGTTTCCTATATGTATACAGCAAAAGATGATTCATGTAAGCACTAAATGTGACTTTGTAAAGTGTTGGTGTTTTCAAGAACTGTTCCTGTACTGAGTTGTAACTCTGTTGTCTGATTGCTCTTCTACTGCATATTTTTTTATGGGGAATATTCCCCTGGATAGTTACAGGATATCAAAGTGGAACATGATTTCAGTATTTTTTGAAGAACCAGATATCAAGGACAATTTTAACCCAATCTGACTGGGTTGGATTGAATGAACCAGTAGCACACTTTTTTTTGCCCTTCATTCCTTTGAAATTGAACCCAGGGTACATGGATATCATTGTGACAATTATGTGCCTTAAACAGAAGTACATAAAAGTAAAAAGAAAACTCTAAGTCTTTGTAAAGAGCATGTTTTTGTCAAGAGCCCCCCCCCCCAAAAAAAAACACTGGTAGTTTGTTGTTCACAGAGGGTTTATCATTGCCCCAGCTTCCAATTATTTTGAAGTCAGATGTCAGATTTGGTATAAAGTTGGTTTGGTTGGTTGGTTTCCAGTGACTGCATTTGGGATCATTAAACCCATTCTGCTTCTTGCTTCCCAATATAGAGCACTCAAGTTCTTGCTTTGTTGGATCTCCTTGTTAAGATTAGGGCATTGAAGGAGGTGTTCCATAGATGATCCTGGCAAGTTGCACAGTGTACATTCTTCTGTGTTACATATTCCTATCTTACAAAGATGTGCTGCAAGGCAGTTGTGTCCTGTATTCGATCGAAAATTTGCAACAGCTTCTTTTCTGGGTTTCTTGCTATTAATTTCCCAAAGTTTTCTGATTTCTATAATTTCTTGTTGTATGGTTCTTTGTTGATTGTATGGAGTATTTCTTTACGTGTTTTAGTTCTGATTGTGTTAGCTAGCGTGTGTGCGCTTAAGATTTTATTTTGGCGGTGCAGTCTTGTGCCCTTCTTAGCCAGTTCATCAGCAGTATCGTTTCCATTGATGCCAACATGTGATGGTATACATTGAATGTATATTATCTTTTTTCTCTTTTCCGGTAGATTTATTAGTTTTTTTATTTAAGTTATCTGTCTCATGATAGTTCTTTTGTTTGAGGATATGGCTTGTATGGCTGCTTTTGAATCCAGGAGCAGAAGCTCTTTGTTAAACATGTTGGGTCTGCTGATCAGTTGCTCCAATGGAAATAGTATTGCTTCTATTTCTGCATCGGAGCTTGATTTGTTTTCGCCTACCACTATATAGTGTGCGAAAAGGGATGAGTAAACTCTGGCTCCAGCATTAGCTTCTTTGCCTAACAGAGAACCTTCAGTATGTATATGTAGCCATTCTGATGATGGGTATCTTTCTTCAGTGGTGCTTATTGTTTTAATTCTTCTTGTGTTTGTTCTGCTTTCTTTACGCTTTCTACTAAGTAAAGGTAGATATTGTAAGAACAATAATCCAGTGGATTTTGCACGGGTACAGCATTTTCTACTTCTATTGGTATTTTTAATTTGTTGAGATTATCTGTATTGCATCTTCTTATGTCTGGTTGTATTTTTAATTTTTGTTCTGGTGGTATTTGTCTTACCCATGTTATCTCTGGTATGGATTTCATTTTCATGAATGTTATTACTGCTTGTTTTTTTTAATTTTTCTATGATGGGGTTGTTTTGTGTATATAATTGTAATGCTGCTATGGGTGTTGTCTTGACAGCTCCGGTTATCAATCTTAATGTATTGTTTTGTGCTTGTTCGAGTTTATTGAGTCTTGTATTATTGGCTGTTATTATCACTTCACTTCCTTGTTTTATCACTGGTTTCATATAGGTTTCATACAAACAAACTGATTTGGTATAAAGTAGTACAAAGAAATTTCATGCTTTTTCCAGTATTATATTTCATCTGCTTGAAAGTTTGGGTTTCACTGATTGAATGACAGTTATGGCATTATGTCTTGAAAAATTGCATAAACAAGCTTGTGTTTGCAAGTGTCTGACTCACAACATTCAGACCCATTTGAAAGACATTTTGTAACATTTTTGTTATTGCCATGTGTCCAAGAATGTAAGACCACTTGAAAATTATCTCTGCAGGCCATTTGGATTTGGGATAGTGAAATGAGCATATGCATTACAGAAAGTGATGGTTGGATCTTGTAGTTAGCTATGTGTGTGTCCCGTATATCTAGTCTTTTGCATTGAGTAACAAGGTTTTAAATCTCACACATATGGAAATTAAATCTGTGTTAAGGCTGCAGAAAAGACCAATTTTCTTTAGATGAAAACTCTGGAAGCAGTTTTGGGCGAAGCAGCCGTAAGGCTAGTGTGGGCAGTGGGCGCAGAGAACGCTCGAAAGAACGGAGTCGTGAAGCAGAGGAAGATGAAGCAGAAAGGAAGAAAAGGAGAGAAGAAAGGGCAAGGTAAGGTTATGTATATGATTAGTGAAAATTTCATAATGCCATTATGATCCTTTGTAGCCTTCTGTAATTAATTTACAGAAAGAGAGTTTATGGGATCCCATGTGTGTGTATGTGTATGTGCACACACCTCCCTCTTTTCTCTCCTTAGTGTTAGAACCAGGTAACTATTTATCATGAAATTTAATGTGGAAATTACCCAACTGGAGATAACTTCCTGGAATCTGATAACAGCATAGGGCCACATGAAGTTTTGAGGTGTGAGTGTCACTGGTGACATGTGTTAACACTTCGCGGACCGGTGATTTAAATATTTAAATCACCCTGGGGACCGGCATTTTTAAACCTACTACCCTAACTTGTGCACTGTTCACTTTAAAAATTAATATAAAATCTCCTAATTAATTTTATGAACTAAAATTTTTGGAGAAGACTTACCAGAGCTCCTAGAAGTGCTTCAGAGTGTGATATTTCTGGAAACATTCCCCTCTGTGAAGAGGCATGACGCAGAACTTGCAGACGTAGGAAGTCTTGCTTCACTTCTTGTGCACAGCGCACACACGGCACTGCCTAGAAGGATACTTCCCCGTCGATTGTTCGCTCATCACAATTTTCACGAGGGTATGTTTCTGCATATCACCCGAGAATCGCCCAGGGGGGTCCATATGAGGCCTCCGTGGGGTGGGACTAGATGGTCCTGGTCGTACTACGTCTGTGTCTGACGCAGGTTCTGCCGCCACCATGAGGTCTGTAGCCCAGGCTTTTGCCACATTCATGAGAAATGCCTTGTATTTCAAAGTTGAATTTTCGTTTAGCTCTTTGAAAACCAAAAATGAATTGAAAGGGGCACAATTTATAAGACACAAGGCAACTTTCTTCGTCCATTTTACTGTTTTCCTAGGAAGGGAATAATAGGCCAAGTATTGGTCGGCCCTATCAACTCCCTTCATGAACATATTGTACTGAGAAATACAAAGAGGCTTCTTCTTCACTTGCCCGTGTCGTCTTTGAACATCGACCATGCTCGAATTGTGAATAGTTGAAATCATATTCACAACATGAGTATCCCTCCAGGACTGAAGAAGAATGTCCCCCTTCCTCCTGTTCAGACACTTGCGTAGGGTCTGATGGCATTTGTCTCACCCCTGGATCACCAGTAAACTTTCCCAAAGTGGGTGTTTTGTCCACTTTACCCCATGTGGCTGTGCCTGCAATGCTTGCACATGCACTTTCATCGGAGCTCTCACTGTCACTTTCACTTTCTCTTCTGGTCACAATATTTTGGGGGCCCCTGTCACTGCCACTGACACTGCCCTTGCTATCAGAAGACGAAGCAGTTGGCAAGTCAGATAACTCATTGGAGATCAAATCACAGATTTCTTTTTCTATGAGAGCTCGTGCGGCCTTCAACTGCTTTCGTCTCTGAGCCATGTTGACACTGAGAATATCTTGCCTCACACATAGAAGCTTCGACTTGAACAAAGGGACTTTTCTTTAGAGTGAGAGGGGAATAGAGAGTGGTCACGTTGCTGACTCGGAAAACAAACATTCCGATGGTCAGCTACGCAGTACTTTTACAGACACGTGGCAACCAAGGCGAGGATTAGTGTGTTGCAACGTAACGTGTCCTGAAAGCCTAAATCTAGGCGACCGGTCTGCCACGTTTAAAACCCAAACGTGTAAACGTGATTTTGTTTTGTATAATTTAAAATAACAAAATGGTGACTAAATGAAAAATATACAGTGAAACTTCAATTTTATGATCTTGCTTTTATGTTTCTCATGAATTTATGCACTTTTTGCATGGTCCCACCCAAGTGCTCATGGCAGTAATGTTGAACTTTTAACAGATTTTGTGTTCCCTCAACTTCACATTTTCCCTGAATTTACAATTCAGTTTTCTACTTGTGAGTGAAAATTTATGCAGCTTTACATTTTTAGTTAAGTTTCTCGGAATGGATATTTTAACTGAATTGGTCATTTTGCTGGAAACATGCACAGTGTTGCCACCACAAGTTTCATTTACAGCATCTGCATTAAATGAAATTGTGAAAAGCAGAAAATAAATTGAGGAATGTTTTGCCCAGTGATGGCAGTTGTCTGAAAATGGAACTTAAGGCAATTGTCTGTGCAAGAACTTCAGAGTTTGTTAATGGTGTGATTTGAGACAAATCCCTTGGATCTTATTTAATGGAAAAGCAGTACACATTGTTGTATGGTTAAGTTGTGGTGTCTAATAGATTGACTGATTGGAACACCTGCAATTGCAAAATGGCATGAGGAGAGAATAGGAGTGTTGATCCAATGACAGAGGAGGAATGGAAGGCTGGAATATTGCACGAAATAAGGGAAGGTAATGTCCCTGGGATACTTATAACATGAATGTGACCAGCTTATTTTACACACTTCCACCTAATAAAGGAACAGAAGAGGGCTGGTGTAAAATGACCCAGGCTTGTGACAGGTCAGGATCCATTGTAGTTCTCTGACTATTATTGCATTGTAAACCCTGTACTTACAGTAAATTGCAGTGGTTTACTGGAGGAGGGCTTCATAGTAGTAAATATAGCTGAAAGAATGCACTCCTTAAATGGCACTACCAGAAGCACACAAGGTACTTGAAATAGTCCAGTGGTAGTACTTACCATGATGCCAATCACAGTGGTCATGTGATGTAAGGCATGAAATGTCTTTGCCCCTTGTACACTGGGCTTGTGGGTTCAAATCCAACTCAAGGCATGGATGACTGTGTTTATTTTGTGTTTGTGTAAGGTAGTGGCCTTGTGGCGAGCTGATACCCTGTCCAAGGAGTCCTATTGACTGTATTCTATTAAGAATATTTTAAGAATAGCATATTTTGTGCTATGAAAATTTAATCTTATAGATAAAGTGAAATGTGAGGGGCTGAAGTTACAAACATGTCGACCTTAACTCCACTCCTTTGTATGTTTTGATGGTTTAAAGCACAGGGAAGACTGTATTCTTTTGACAAAGCAATTATTCTAATCAGCGAGTGAAAAATGGGGGAACTGCATCAATTTAGTCAGTGATCTTTAGGTTACATTTATTAATGGTACCATTTTGAAGAAAACAGTTGAAATGTTTGCTATTAATTTTTGTTTTAATTTTAAGGAGTGCACGTACTGTATAGAGTGGAACACCCAATTAATGTTTCTTTGTTTAATATTTCTCCTCATTTAGTGTTTAGTTTTAGTTATTGCAAGTCATTATCCTCAGTATTAAATGCAGTCCACCTAAAATATTCCTCACTCTAGTGTTCAAATTGATTGCTCCCCCCAAAAAATCTTAAATGGGTGTTTCATGTATATGAAAAGATGAGCAGCCCCTGTCATTACATGTGCAGTTAATTCAGCACTGATTTGATTAAAAATATTGACATAATTTTAAAATTACTGTAGTAAATTATATACTTTTATTGCGTTATTTTCCTGTTGTTAGCTTTTGTTTTAATTATCCCAAATGAACTTCTTTTTCCTCAGTTTACACATGACTTAAGTTATATCAGAAACAAGATAGTGGTTTGTCTAATCACCTGTTACTGATCTTATGTGCAGGGAACGAGAGGAGAAAGAAAAAAGAAGTCCCTCAGTTCGTCGCCGTAGCAAGAGTCCACGTCCGGCACCAAGAAGAAGAGCTAGGATAGTTCCTCGCTACATGGTGCAGATCCCCAAGATTGCTCTTGACATGTAAATAGGCTTCTATCTTTGCTAGATTTTAACACCTGTGATGAATTTACTGAACAAGGTGGCTCAAGTAGTAACACTTCTGGCTTTTATTCAGGAGGTGCCTGGTGTGAATTTTTGCCAGGCACCAAATATCCAAGACAGGTTCTTCATGAGTTTCCTCAGTCATTCTAGACAAATGCCATGATAGTGTCTTGAATTAGACCATGATCTCATCCTCTGACATTTCATTGTGTATTATTATCCAACCAGTTGTTGCTATGTAGTCTGAGTTACAGACAGTGTCAGATGAATGACAGGTTTGTGTGCTGATGAATTGAAGGTAATACAGTATGCGCCAAAATATTCAGTACTGAAATGAAAAGACGTCCTGTTGATATCACTGTCTATTCATGTGAAGGCCCCTTGCTCCTTCCCAAATCCTGAAGAAATGGTCCAATCACCATGTCCCTGTAGCATTCTTGGGTGACGGTAAGAGCAGTGCCTTCCTCATCCTCAATGAAATAGGGGCCTAATATACTGTGTGCTGAGACAGCACACCATATTGTCACATGTGTCCTATGTAGCGGTTTCTGGACGGCCGCTCAAAACCAAGGAAGTGAGTTGTCTGGCAACCACTTCCATATCAGTGGAAATAATACTCAACTATGAATACTTTTTCCTCTGTCAAGAGACCCATTTCCAACAACTGCACAACACAACTCCCTTTTCACTACTGGAAACGTGCGGCTGGAGCTGTGACCCGTCGACAAATGCACATGAGCATTCGAGATGTGCGAGTTTCAGTACTGCATATTTTGGCGCATAGTGTATGTTGCTGCAAATTGAATTGAAATTTTAGAATTAATGCATATCACTGTATAATTTATTACATATATGCTCTTTTTGATTGAAAATTCCCAACAAATTTGTACAAGTAAGTTTATGTGAAGGCATTTATGTTTTGAATGGTAACATTACATCCTATTGTAATAATAGCTGTCATTACTTTAATAGTGACGCCAATTATGGGCAGTCATTGAATTGGCTATGCATGTCATTTCATATTGCTGAAGTGCTGTGTATGGATTATTACAGGCCTGAAGCTGATGTTTTGGAATTGCGAAGGCGTTACTCAAACATGTATATTCCATCAGACTTCTTTTCTACCAATTTCCGCTGGGTTGACGCGTTCCCACCTCATAACCCATTCACCCTGGACCAGCCTTGCTCATTTCATGTGATGAACAAGGAGGTGGATGCAGTGTTAGAAAATCTGGCTGTACTGGAGCCTCCAGATGCTGACTATCTTTTCTCTGCCAAAGTAAGAGTTATGGCTCATATAAATATATAATAAGTCAATATACTTTTGGAATATTAACCCCTTCATTGGTATTTACAGTACTTTTTCATGGTTCGGTGTACATTCCCTGTTGCATATATCATCAAAAACATTACAGCTCATTGTTGTATGTTTTTTTATACCGTCATGTTTTCCGACGTTGTATGATAGCACTGGGACATAGTTCTCATGTTTCTTAGATGGATATACTATGTTGAATCATTTTCACAATTTTCTGATGCAATAATTATTCATACATATATTTATATATACACACACACATAAATGAACACAAAATGCTATTGTAAGTTACCACTGAAGGAGTTGTGCTAGTTATGTTAAATTTTAGTTTATAGTGAAATTGGCCTGTTCTGTTCTATTATGCCTGGAACAGTTTTAACATTTACTGTACCAAGATCAATTATATTACTGCAAAAACTTACATATGAAATCACACACACACCCACACCAACAAGTGTGGCCTGTTTCAACTTGCCACATTGTGCATTTTTGTTGAGAGAGAGAGCCCATGTGGACTTTCTTATAGGTGACATAACAGTGCATGTATTTCGTAACAAAGTAACAAAATATTTAATTCCTCGAAATGTTTATAGAGCTCCACCTTCAGACTTCCAGTGTATTTCAGGAAGGTGTGAATCTGTAACATTATTTTTCTCTCTTCAGAATTTTTAAATTTTGGTAGGTTGAAAAATTCAGGGTTGAATTTATTGGTGATAAATTGTTTTGATATGGTAATGTAGTTCTGCCATACACCATTTTAAAGCTCGTTGCTAGTTATTTTAAACAAGTCCCGTTTCAGCGTGTTATGTTACATAGAACCAGAGTTTGAATCAAATTTGTGATCGTTCATGAGAAAAATTTCCCAAATTTTTAAAAGTTTTAAATGACAGGATCTCTTGAAGTAAATGAAATAGAGTTATGAAAGTTTTCACACATTAAGTTGTAATGGATTAACATCTTTCATAGAAATTTTTATGTTATAAAACGTAATCATGTTGGGGGACATAATCAAAGCCATCAGATTCTGTGGAATAGTGTGGGACTACTGTACAGGTATTACCAGTGTTATGTAACCAGTGTAAGGTTGATCTTACTGATTCAAGAATTAATATACGGGTATGTATATAGTGGTGTATATCCACTGTGTCTCTGTTGCTCCAGGCATCCACCTGTCACAAACATTTCATATATAAAGATGTACTTTGTTCTTAGGTGATGCTGATGAGCATGCCCACTATGGAAGAAATCTTCAGAAAGTGCTGTGCTCTGGCTGAAGACAAAGAAAGTAAAGATTCATCGGACGATGCTCGGGACTTTGTTCATCCAACACGTCTTGTCAATTTCCTGGTTGGACTGCGGGGGAAGAATGAAACCATGGCTGTTGGTGGACCATGGAGCCCATCTTTAGATGGACAAAACCCAGACAAGGATCCATCAGTTCTTATCAAGACAGCCATCCGAACCTGCCAAGCTCTTACAGGCATTGATCTCTCTCACTGCACACAGTGGTAGGTGACATATCCAAGACATTTTCTGTATCATTTCACTGTTTTTAAGTTTAATGTAGAAGGCATCAGAGCATCTGAAAGTTTGAAATTTATCAGGATACTGTATTTCTCCCGTTGGCCATGTTTATTGTGTATTAGTTTATCTGTTAATGTTCTCTGTCCTATATTTACAGTTCCACCATATGCAAAATGTGTACATATAGCAGTGGGAATGAAAATGGTCCATATATGTAAATTAATATTAGTTTATGGAACAGGTGATGTAGGTTTAAACTAGGGAAATAGGAATGTAGTCAAAAATACAGGAAATGCTCTTCCATGGTTTAGCAGTTGGTGTCTAAATTGGATAGTAATAGTCCTCTTGTATTTGCAGCTTTGTTATTATTTCATCCTCTTACTGAATGCCACAGTCAGATACTACATATTCAGGGTGTTCCAGGCCTAAATCATGGCCTGGAGATTGATTCCCCTGACTGAGATTTTCATGCCTTTCTTCATTTCCTCCAGACAGTCGACAGCATAGTTTCTCAAATTAGACCACTTCCATCCATTTCCTTTCCAATTCATTATTCATTAATCATCATATTCATTCAGTGCTGTATGGTGTGAGACGTTTGAGTGTCATTAAATAAAAGGGTAAAGTTATTCCTATGCATAATTGGTTGAGCACTGTGCCATGAAGGTGTATGGGGGAATGGAGGGGTGGCTCCACCATTCTTGACCTCAGCATTGGATGGAGGTGAGTGGTTAGTTTCATAGCCCAGCTGATTTAACCTTTATTGGACGGCCATTTAAATTCCGGTAGTGGCCGCAGGACAGATTTAATTTAAATGCCCGCCATTGTAGAGTAATAAAAATTGTAATCATGTTACTCAAAATGCTATGATTTCTACAATTTTTGTGATAAACGAACGAAATAAACTCTGCTTTTATCTAGAAAGTATATAGAATCAGATACTGTAATTTGCCGATTTTAGAATCTGTAAAAATTGTTACATCGATTCAAAAAAAAAATTCCCCAACTTTGAGCATCTGTCCACAAAAATGCATAAAGCTTCTGCACAATACATTTCTGCAGTATAAATGCGCACACTCTTGTGTGTAATCTGGTGATAGGAGAGGATGTTTACGTACTCACGTTCTCCAGTCACTATGCTATCTGTATAACAGAATGTGGACAATTTCTTAACCTACATTGACCATATGAAACTCTGTTTGTTTATTCACGTATGTCGGACTATCCAGCCAGAGGCAGTTCTTGGAATATCACCTCATTCCACTTGCATCCACATCCCTTCAGAATAAACTGTAACGCATTCTAAATGGTGTGATTTACGAGTGGCTTCTCTATTTCGAATTCTTTAATGCGAAAAGGGGCCATGGTGCATAGTTGAAATTGCAATGTTTTATAAGATGTTATGAATAGAGGAGACCATTCGCCATCACTGGCCTACTTCCTGCTGATACAAGATTAACATTACCTGTGCATGCTTCGCTTGGAAAACAGAGTTAATTACGGACAAAGAGCATGAATTGCAACATCGGGCTCTGAATTCAGTGACATGCAACATTCAGTTAGATGATGCAGGAGGGAAGACAGTCTACTTATAAAGCTGGTATCCAAAAATAGTGTAAGTAGAACAAGAATTTCTATCATAAAATAAGATTTTAAAACACTATGCGCAGGCGTGGATTGCGGGTACCCATATGGTGACCCACGGCCACTCGGCTGTACTTTAAATGACGTCGTATGGTGACATTAGTCTGATAAAGGTTAAATAAACAATAAATAAATATGTTATTATTTATGCTAGATTATAGATGAGTTCATTTATTTTTTCATGGAGTGGGTTGATTAACTTTTTGTATAAGAACTCTCTACACCATGTCTAAAAGAGATGATGCATTTTTAATCTGATGGTATGTAGAATGAATCAACAGCTTGCAAGCATGCATTATTATTATTATTGTTGTTGTTGTTGTTATTATTATTATATCATCGGTCCACATTCTTATTATTGTAGAAGAACAAGATTGTAATTCTCTAAATTACTGGGATTTTGGACTTTGTCCATTGTCTGGTATTCAAAGAACTAGAGAACACAATATTTCAGTTCTGTTTCCATCTTCAGGTGAGGGGGCCAGATACCCAGCTCTGTTGTGTGCTTTAGAAAGATACATCATCCAGTAATTGAGGTCAGAAGTCTGAAAACCCAGTAACTCTTGAGTGTTATACACCATCATCAGAACCCTTTAGGATCTACAAGATTATAATTATTTGTTACTAAAATTTACTTCTATGGTTTGTTAATTTCTGCCATTTTCAGTTAAGGGATCAGCTTAGATTTTAGATATTGTTGTATTTAAATAAATATGATAGTTACTTAGAAATTACATTGCATAATTTACATTTTTCTTTTTTTTCAAAATATTATATATGCAGAAAATTGTGACTGATATATATGAAGATATATGAAAATGCCTTCCCCTGGGGTACTACCTTAATGTGCTTGGGAGGTTTTCTTGCCCTGGTCATCTGGAGAACTATGCTAGGGGAAATCTAAGCTCCTGATAGGGGCACTCATGCTAGATAAGTCAAAGGGTAGGGGCCAGATGTGGTCCTCTTGTTTGGAGATGGCCATGAGAACAATGTCAGGTTAGAAAACAATATATGTTGAGAGACTTAGTGGTGGATGCCAGAAGAGAAGAGACTGGAAATCTCTTTATGAAGAGAGTGAAGGTTCTTAGAGGACCACAGAGCCGAGGAATAAAGAATGAAGTAAAATTTATGAAAATGGTCTGTCATGACCAATATCTCTTTTTACAAGTACTTGAACTTTCCTTGAAAGTTAAACATTTTCTCCAAAAAAATGGATAGTTATATGGCTTTAACTGGTAACAAAATACAGCTGCAGTTTATGTTTAAAATGTTCATATATTAATTGAATTTTGTTCATTTCAAAAGACATTTCTATTAAGCATTGTACAAATAGATTTCAACAAAGTAAAAAAATCAGTCATCATATGCAGACACTTTTTTTTTGAAACTCTGTCTTCTTACCATAGTCATGAGGTTTCTTTGGCACAGTGTTGCACAATCTCTTTATTACATTCACATGGTTGTAGGGTCATGCTGCAGGGCATGTGAAATGTAGCCAGCAGCAGAAAATGGTTCCTGCCAAATCATCTGAAATACATATTCCTGCACACTTCTCATGCTCATGTTTTGTGCTTGCTGCTGTCTCTCTGAGACTTTGGCAACAGAAAATTTTCTCTGCTCTTTTTCATTTGTAGGAATTAAGTGCATGAAATATATGGGGATGTATTTTTCATTCATGATGTTTGTGGGGAATTGTGCTGGCAAGCGGCCTCCATGGTCTAGGGTTAACTTTCCCACCTCATAACTCAAGGTATGTGGGTTCAAACCCAGCGGAGGTCGTGGAATTTTTAAGGGCGGAAAAATTCAAGGAACAAGTCCTCCGGGAGGGACTTTAAGCCGTGGGTCCCGTGTCGTAGATTTATGGCACGTAAAAGATCCTCATGTCTCTAGGAGACCTCTGAGCAAAATTAGGTAAAAAGTTTCCCGCCCAAGTAGTTTCCAGTGCCTCCGGTAGGTGGGGAAGTATTGGGTATCACTGCCAGTAGAGAGGCCAAACTCGCTGTCTGAACGGGCCTGATAGTGAGCACCAGTACCAGAAGGGTATGGCGACTGGTAGAATATCAAAGGGGGACGTACAATAGATCAACAACTGGTTGCGGTGCATGGGGAAATCCACCCCCCAAATAATGAATGAATGAGTGAAGGAATTAGTCCTGTTAAGAAAGAGAAGTAGAATTAAACTGACGTATGTCACAGCAAGCAAACATGTGCAACAAGATTGCTGTATTGGTTTGTACATAATAATTCTTGAAACATTGTTTGTAGGATACTTTTAAGTAATTACAGAAAAAGGTATAAAATAGCCTATGGGAGAATTGAATTGAATTTATTTACATTCTATAAATCCTAAGCAGGTTAGTACCTTTGGATACAGAACAAGTCAAAAGGTTACATACATAAGTACAGGCAATTTTAGCTTAAAAATTAATATAACTTAATTTTACATCATTCTCTATTTACATTGAAGTATTCATCTAAAGAGTAGAAGGAATGAGCATGTAGATAATTCTTTAACTCTGATTTAAACTTTTTAGTATCATTGCCCAAGTTTTTAATACTTTGTGGCAGATTGTTGAACACTTTTATGCCAGTAAAGTAGACTCCTTTTTGATATACTGATAAAGTTGATGAGGGTAGGTGGAAGTTATATTTTTGTCTAGTATTCATGTTATAGACATCAGAATTTAATTTGAATTTATCTTTGTTGTAAACAACAAATAAGAGAAGCGATAATATGTATTGCGATTGAAGAGGTAGAATTTTTAATTTCTTAAATAATTCTCTACATGAATCTCTACTTCTACATCCTGTAATGATTCTAATTATATTCTTTTGTATTTTAAAAATTATTACACTATGTGAAGAGTTCCCCCAAAATATTAATCCATAGTTCATAATAGAATGAAAGTAGGCATGGTAAACCATCTTCAATGTTTCCTGTGACATAAAAGGCTTAATTGATCTCATCGCATAGCAAGCTGCATTTAATTTAGGTATAATTTGTTCAATATGTATTTTCCAAGACAGTGTACTGTCTACATGTATTCCAAGGAATTTTGTATCAAGTACTTTACAGATTAATTTGTTGGCATAACTGATGTCCAGATCAATTTGGTGGTTGTTTTTAGTTGTGAATGATATGTAATGGGTTTTATCAAAATTTAATGAGAGTAAATTGGCTTCGAACCATCTGTTTAAGGCTTCAAATACAATATTTATGTCATTTTTAAAGTTTTCAAATTTAGAGTTCTTAAATATTATACTAGTGTCATCTGCATATAGAATTGGTTTAGATTTATTGTTGATGGTTTTAGATAGATCATTTATGTAGAGAAGAAAA